TACAAAGAAAAATTCAATCAGATCCAATCAAAATTAAAATAAAATGCTACCGCGTAAGTGGTCATCGCAACTCAAATCAAGAACAAAAAGATAATAACAAAAATCACAAATTGCAAATCGAGATGCGAATCGGTGAGCGCAAAAAGTGGATTTCCACCACACTAAACCGTCTGACGCGTGTGAAATTAAAATACAAGTATAAATAAATATAGAATATCACACGTAAATCGATAAAAACCATCGCTAGCTTGCTACACTTAACGTGATCATCGCAAAATGGACAAATATGGTGCAGATCTAAATATAACAAAAGGAAAAAGTGAAACGAAAGGAATTTTAAAAGTGCTAATAAAATAATAATAAAATAAAATCAACAATATTGCTAACGCAAAAATGCGATCATCGCAATCGGATCCAAATCGTGCGGATATGAATTTATAAAAAAGAAACACAAAGGAAAATGAATTTTAAAAGTGCTAATAAAAAATAATAAAATAAAATCAACAATATTGCTAACGCAAAAATGCGATCATCGCAAACAGATCCAAATCATGCGGATATGAATTTATAAAAAAGAAACGCAAAGGAAAAGGAATTTTAAAACGTGTTAAAAATTAATAATGTTGCTAACGCATAAATGCGATCATCACAACCGGATCGAACCAACACAAACGTCGCGCATCATGCACACCGAAATACATATAGCATATCGACACTATTCGATCCAAAAAATATAAAAAAATAATAATAATAAATAATAAAATAAATAAATAAAATTAATTTTATATATATATATATATATATATATATATATATATATATATATATATATATATATATATATATATATATATATATATATATATATATATATATATATATATATATATATATATATATATATATATATATATATATATATATATATATATATATATATATATATATATATATATATATATATATATATATATATATATATATATATATATATATATATAAGAACCCAATATAAAAATATGTATCATGAAACAAAATTTTGCAGTTACTGTATATGTCATATGTTAATATATTATATATGCTTATGAAACATATTATAAATATGTTTATGAACAAGTATGTTTCATGAAACAAAAACCTAATGGTTAGAGCGGGTAAGGAAAATAGGATATGAAATTAAAAAATTAAGTTGCTCCTCATTTTTTTGTTCCTCCTCTTTTTCAACAATGTAACATAGGTATATATAGGGATCAAATTAGGGTTAACTCTAAATTGTCAATAATGTCCCTAAGGCCCATTTTAAAGTCCAAATTAAATAATTGGTTAAAACTAAATAAAATTTAAACAATTTAAAATAATTAAAATAAACTTAAAATAAAAACTAATAATCCTATTGATTCCTAAAATGAAAATATTTTTAAAAATTCCAATATTTTTTATTTTGTGATTTTTTTGGATATTTTTATGAATAATATGGAAAAAGGTGAAAAAAATAATATTTTTTAAAAAATAATTTAAATAAAATACAAAATTAATGATTAAATAATAAATTTTATAGAAAAGTTAGAATACAAATAAAAGAAAAAAACAAAAAGTGAAGAAAGTGAGATTCGAACTATCAACCTCTCACACTCACAACTCCTTACACATGGTCTCTTGTCAATTGTGTCATTTTATTCATTCGAAATAAAGTGGCACTAGAAACCATGTAAATGTAGGTCAAATTTGGGGTATGACAGATGCCCCTATCTAATTGCCTTGAACCTGGTGGAATGAACTGCTGCATGGTGTTCATTTTTAGTATGAAAGTCAATTAGATACAAGAAGACCCCGAAATTTGTCCAACAAAGAAGTAAAATGCAACGAGATAAGATATACAAGAATCAGATAGCAGGATGCAAAATATGAACAAGATAACCTGGGATTCTCTGGGTGGTCAAAGCAGTCTCTTATCATTAAGGTTCTTTGTGATACCAAAGCAGTGCAAACAAGATTTTTCGGGTGGTCGAAGCAGTCCCTTATCCATTAAGGTCCTTTGCGATACCAAAGTAGTATCTCGAACATCAACGAGATTTCTTTGGGTGGTCAAAGTAGTCCCTTATCCATTAAGGTTCTTCGCGATACCAAAACAATATCTCTGAACGCAAACGCAAACGAGATTCTTCGGGTGGTCGAACCAGTCCCTTATCCCTTAAGGTTCTTCGCGATACCAAAGCAGTATATCTGTACACAAATAAGATTCTTCGGGTGGTCGAAGCAGTCCCTTATTCATTAAGGTTCTTCGCGATATCAAAGCAGTATCTCGAGCGATAAATTTGATGGGGAATAGTTGAGCATAACTCCTATAAAAGGAACAATGTTGTCCAAACTCTGTAGGGGAAAAGCCTTCAAGATACTTTTTAAGATAACCTCTACTTGGGGAGCAACAAGATCAACAGTTGCGGTACTATCATTATCAACTGTATGGTTGAAGAATGACTTGCTGGGGAATAGAATTCTATGAATACGTGCAGAATATCTACTCTCAGAGAAATACTGCCGACTTTTATGGAGGACTGGTCAAGATGCTTGTGAACTGATCCTGGATCCCGCTAGGCTGTTATGTTATGTTGCTGGGGACAACAGTGCTATGCATTATCATGCACAAACATGCCACTAAAATGCAACTGCTAGGGAATCTAATGCACGTGGGAATGCAAATGATGTGCAAATGCTTGAGATATGATTATGATATTATCCTATATGCTATGCTTATGATAATGTAAATGATCAGGTATGCTGGGGATAAATATCTGTTGAGGATATCACCAAGGCTGGATTTGATAGTTGTCAAATGAATTTGGACTTTAGTTATTCTGTCAACTGAGATTGGGCTTTGGTTTTATGAGGATGCCAATAAGGGTAGACTTTTAGTGGTTGCCAATGAAGACTGGACTTTTTAGGGTAACTTTGAGAGTGTCAACGAATTTGGAGTTTTATGTAGTTGCCAATAAAAGATTAGACTTTGAGGACGTGCCAAGCGAAGTTGGACTTTATTTGGTAAAAGGATTTGACTTCTCGACACACAGTATCTGACAATGCCACACTCAGTAGACAGATGTGGACACTCTTGGTGTCCCAAGTTGGATCCTTTGTAAAAGTGGCGTACTTGTTCTTGTAAGATCCTCACTTCTAACTGATATGTCATGATGGCTTACAAATGTTGAGCTTAGCGATGTAATCAAAGCATGTTGAATGTGCGAGCGTAGCAACTTAACCAATGCATGTTAGTCGTGCTTTTACTCTGCCCCAAGGCTTTTGACGCTTGTTGACCTCAACAATTACTGGTGTCAGACATGGTCGACTTGACCAATTTGAAAGCAAGGAGGAGAAACTGCTCCTGTTCAACTAGTTTGCCCCAGTCTGCCGGGTATTTGAAGGATTTCTTCTAGGATGAGAACTTTTGGGAGCGATTATACCAAGATAGGGCTTTAGCCTATTTTCCCAGTGTCTGAATCTTGTAGTGGTCTGCCCCTGTTTGAACCTCAGAACGACTCGTCCCAGATTCATAAGGTTGTGAGGTAGTCTTGATAATACAAAAAATAACAAATTGCAAATCGAGATGTGAATCGGTGAGCGCAAAAAGTGGATTTCCACCACGCTAAACCGTCTGACGCATGTAAAATTAAAATACAAGGATAAATAAATATAACACATCACACGTAAATCGATAAAAACATCGCTAGCTTGCTACACTTAACGTGATCATCGCAAAAGGGACAAAAATGGTGCAGATCTGAATATAACAAAAGGAGGAAAAATAATTAGTTAAAACTAAATAAACACGGAGGAAAAAGAGGAGGAAAAAAAGGAGGAAAACTAATTTAAACAAATTAAATAATTAGTTCAAAAATGATCCATTTTAAAGCCCAAATTAAATAATTAGTTAAAACTAAATAAAATTTAAACAATTTAAAATAATTAAAATAAACTTAAAATAAAAACTAATAATTCTATTGATTTCTAAAATTAAAAGTATTATAAAAAGAACAAAATCTTTTCCAATATTTTTTATTTTATGATTTTTTGAATATTTTTATGAATAATATGGAAAATGTGAAAAAATAATATTTTTTAAAAAATAATTTAAATAAAATACAAAATTAATAATTAAATAATAAAAAAAATATTTTTGTTATTTTTGTTATGAAAATAGAAAAGTTAGAATAAAAATAAATAAAAAAATAAAAAGTGAAAAAGGTGAGATTCAAACTCTCAACTCATTTCAAATATAGTGACACTAGAAAGTAAAAATCATGTAAAGTAGGACAAATTTAGAGTATGACAATACTATCAAATATCAAATTTTAATTTTGATTTTCCAATCTAAGGTTTCTTTTCATTAAGTTTTTTTTCCAAACATTTTCTATTTACCCTCAATTGGAAAAAAGATCAGTAGCCGTATGCACAGATATTTTAACTTTTTGGTTTGTTTTTTAATTATATTAATTTTTTAAAATTTCAAATCCAAATCTTAATTATTATTTTTCTTTTACAAATAGTTATTTTTAATTAAAGATTTTGTTTTAATTAAAGATGATACCAAATTTTTATTGTTACATGCATGCCAAATCAAATCAAATATATCAATTACAAACCTAAATCTTCATGCCGTAAAAAACGTTACAATCCATTAAAAAAAATCTATACAATCCATTAAAAAAATCTATATATATATATATATTATATTAATGTTAGAGGAGTAGGTATATGTTTAGACTAGAACATTCTGGTATACAAAGAAAGCATTAAGAAACCGACGTTACCGTGTTTGTTAATTGTTTTCTGTGGAGGTGCTTTTCTTCCCCTTTTTCTATTATTAACCCATTCCAATTCCAATTTCTTTCCATTCCTTCTCTTTCTTTTCCTTTCCACTACGCATATTTTCTCCTCTGATTTTCCTTTTTCTTCCTCAAAGGAAAGGGAAAATCTTCAAATTCGAACCTTCAGATTTATTTTCAATGGCGGAAGAACATAGATGCCAAGCTCCGCGTCTCTGCGCTAACAACTGCGGTTTCTTCGGGAGTCCCGCCATGCAAGATCTCTGTTCTAAATGTTACCGTGATTTGCAGCTCAAGGAACAGCGATCTTCGTCGGCTAAATTGGTTCTCAATCAAACCCTTATTCCTCAAGCGATGGTTTCTCAAGAGGCTGTTGTTGTTCAGCCTTCTCCTTCTTCGGAGGTGGTTTCGTCTATGCCGGCGCTGGCGGTGGAAACTGTTGTTGAAACATCGGAGCAGTCGAAGCCGAATCGGTGCGGGAGTTGTAGGCGGCGCGTGGGGCTGACGGGGTTCAAGTGTAGATGCGGATTGACGCTGTGTGGGTCCCACAGGTATCCCGAGCAACACGAGTGTGGGTTCGATTTTAAGGGTATGGGGAGAGAGCAGATCGCGAAAGCGAATCCGTTGGTGAAGGGAGAGAAACTGAACAAGATCTGAATTGGGAAGGGTATTGTTGTAATTTCCGGTTTGTGATTAGTTCTTTACAAAAGAGGAAGTGTTTGGATATGGTTCTATGGGTCGGATGATCCGTTTCTCCGACGGGTTATTTGGGTGGGTGGGGATTCGGGAATTGTCCTTTCATTTCGTTGTTATCATTTTATGTGTTAATATTAGTTACTAGCAGTACAATAAAAGTTTGATTTTAGTTTCATAATTTTCTATAATTATTCCTTTATTTTGTTTTTGTTTTGATTCTCTGTTTTCTTTTGTTGTATCTAACTTGTCGGGAAAAAACATGTTTTCAGAATCAGAAAAAAAGTTTGAGTTACATCCATACGATTTCAATATTCTTGAGTGTGCATTTCGCATCATAACTGTGCCGAGTTATGTACATCAAATTGGTGTGTGTTCTTTTTTAGTCTTTAATTCTTAAAAATGAAGAAACAAAATCAAAAAACAATAGAAGAGGTTGAGATTTTTTATAAATGCACTGTAACGATTATTAAGATTAAAATATACTCTCATATACTAGAGATTAGATGAATCAAAAGAGTTTTTATATAATAAAGCTCTAATATTTAAGTCTTTTATTAATGGAAAAATAGTTTTTAGTCCCATATATATCAAAGTCGCATATGACACACACACCTTTATTTTGTTTTTGTTTTGATTCTGTTTTCTTTTGTTGTATCTAACTTGTCGGGAAGAAACATGTTTTAAGAATCAAGAAAAAAAGTTTGAGTTACATCCATATGATTTCAATGTTCTTGAGTGTGCATTTCGCATCATAATTGTACCGAGTTATGTACATCAAATTGGCGTGTGTTCTTTCTTGGTCTTTAATTCTTAAAAATGAAGAAACAGAATCAGAAAACAATAGAAGAGGTTGAGATTTTTTATATGAATGCACTATAACGATTATTAAGATTAAAATATACGGTCATATACTAGAGATTAGATGAATCAAAAGAGTTTTTATATAATAAAGCACTAATATTTAGGTATTTTATTAATGGAAAAATAGTTTTTAGTCCCATATCAAAGTCGCATATGACACACACACACCTTTATTTTGTTTTTGTTTTGATTCTCTGTTTTCTTTTGTTGTATCTAACTTGTCGGGAAGAAACATGTTTTAAGAATCAAGAAATAAAGTTTGAGTTACATCCATATGATTTCAATGTTCTTGAGTGTGCATTTCGCATCATAACTGTACCGAATTATGTACATCAAATTGGCGTGTGTTCTTTCTTGGTCTTTAATTCTTAAAAATGAAGAAACAAAATCAGAAAACAATAGAAGAGGTTGAGATTTTTTATATGAATGCACTATAACGATTATTAAGATTAAAATATACGGTCATATATTAGAGATTAGATGAATCAAAAGAGTTTTTATATAATAAAGCACTAATATTTAGGTCTTTTATTAATGGAAAAATATTTTTTAGTCCCATATCAAAGTCGCATATGACACACACACACACCAAGAATAGATGTGGATCTGCTATTAAAATGTTATTAAAACATGACACACACCAAAAATCGAATTATTAAAAATTTTATTAAAACATGGCACACACACTAAGAATCGAACTACGATCTATTTGGTTGGACCCCGAGCTAAAGTTAAGGGACGGAAGAGAGTATTTTGCCTTTATTAATTCTCTTTTTTTAGCCCTTCTACTAAATAAATATTTTTGTATTTTATTTGTTTTTTTAATTTATTATTTTTTAAAAAATAGATATATATAAAAATTAATTTTTCTAAAAGTTAAAAAATAATTTATAAAACATATAATTTTTTTTATAAAAAAAATTGAGTTTTTTTCAAAAATAAAAAATCATTTTTTTTCAAAAAAAAAAAGCGGTTTTTTTCAAAAATAAAATATTTGACTTTTTAAAAAATAAAACAGTAAGTATTTTTCTTAAAATAAATAGAAAAGTCAATTTTAAAAAAAAGTGATTTTTAAAAAGAAGAATTGATTTTTACCAAAAATTTTAAAATAATTTTTTTTTGATATTTTTCGGAAGTTAAAAATATTCATTTTTATTCTAGAATTAAGAAGAAAGTCGTTTTTTTTTCGTAAATTGTAAAAAGTTTATATATTTTTTTCGAAAATAAAATTGTTTTTTTTAAAAAAGAAAGAAATCGGATTTGTTCAAAATAGTCAATTTTTATAAAAAATAAACACAGTCGATTTTTTAAAAAGTAAAAAGGTAATTGTTTTTATCAAAAATAAAATCAACTTTTGAGTAAAAATTTGATTTTTCGACAAATAAAAACATTTAATTTTTTCTAAAAAAATATATATTTTTTTCGAAAGTTAAAAATAGTCAATTTTTTTTTAAAATTAAAAATAGTTTATTTATCTTGAAAATTAAAAAAAATTTTGATTTTTTTTAAAATAAAAAGAAAATCAAGTTTTTTCGAAAAAATGTTATTTTAAAAAAAAAACAGAAATAAAATAGTCGATTTTTCTGAAAACATGAAAATTAAGTTTTTTCAAAAGTTAAAAATAGTTGATTTTTTCAAAAAAAAAATTGACTTTTTCGAAAATTAAAAAAGTGTTTTTTGTTAAATAATAAGTTTTCATTTTTCTGAAAAAAAAGTCATTTAAAAAAATGGTTTTTTTCAAAGGAGTCAACTTTTTTAAAATGTTGGGAGCTTGAGGGCTTTCTTAAATTTTAAATTTTAGGGAGCCTATGAAAAAATGGTTTTTTTTCAAAGGAGTCAACTTTTTTAAAATGTTGGGAGTTTGAGGTCTTTCTTAAATTTTAGGGAGCCTATTTATTTTAGTGCTCATTTTTCTTTAAGATTTTGGACCCCCTCTATTTTTAGGTCCTTAAAATTTAGGTTTCAGCTTCCTAAGCTCTAATCACTTATCTATTGCATGGAACCTCTAATATTATTTAATAAAGTACATTTACAATCTATTAATTTTCTTGAAAATGAGTTAAGATAACATCATTGTTAATTGTTCCAAGAACATCTATTTTTATAAAAATTACAAGACGATCATTTAACCATTGATCACTTATTTTGTTACATAGTTGACTCTTTACAAACTTCATAGCTGAAAAAACATGTTCCATGCTTGCAGTTGCTACCGGCAAGACTAAAGTCAACTTCAGAAACTTATAAATCATATCAAATGTGTTGCACTTATTTGTTTCCACAAGTTTTACACAAAGATCTGAAATTCGTTTTAAAATTGCAAATTTTGGATCACATCGAACATTTCTAACATAATTCTGAAGTTGATGTCGCACCACTACTTCCGACACATTTACAAAATCATTTGGATAAAGCTCAATCATCCTCAATAGTTTTTCACATTAAGAGTTGCAACTGGCGACGAGAGACTCAAACATGAAACACATTGTAAAAGTTCAGTATTCTCTTCATCAATCCTAACATTGAGTTCACATAATTGCAAATCTAAAAAACTAAACAAACAATCATGCCTATAATGATGCAAATTAGAAACACTAGAAGTTGTAGTAGGTCGTCTAGGTTTTTTCCCTTGCACATACGGTGCATCCATATCTGGCACATCAATATCATTCTTATTGCAAATTTATATAACCTTAGATATAAGTTCTTCCCATCCATCATTTCTCATTTATTGTAATTCTTGTTTGGTAGCATTGACAAGTGACAAAACATTCAAAAGATCTTAATCACACTTTTGTAGCACTACACTCAAATCATTTGTAAATCCTAAAATCTCAACCATCATATATAACATGAAGATAAAATCAAAAGACTGAAACACATTTAGCAAAAGCATAGTTTTACCATATTTCCCAAATGACGTATCCTTCCGGACTTCTTCAAGTACTCTAATAGTAGCACCGTACAAAGTCATCAAACTAATGAGAGTCCTAAAATGGGAATCCTGACGGGTGTCACCTGCTATAGCAATAGATGATTCTTGATTTAATCCACTACCAGGACTCTATTTGGCCCTCTTCAATCAATTTAGCAAACTGAGTTATTTGTTTGTCTCGAAGCAATTCTTGTCTCTTGTTAGAAGATCTTATGAAATTAACAAGAATATTGACCTTACCGAAAAAAACCACTAACATCTTTGTGAGTCTTAGCACATGCAAGAAGCGCCAATTGAAGTTGATGGGCAAAATAATGCACATGATAAACAAATGGATTCTCATTTTGGATTAAAGTTCTCAAACCACCAAACTTACCTCGCATATTGCTGGCTCCATCATATCCTCTCCCCTTAATGCTAGATAAACTCAAGCAATTAATAGACAACAAATTTTCAAGTGCCTCCTTAAGTGACTTAGCACTTGTTTCTTTAACACTTACAATGCAAAGAAACCTTTGTTTTGACAAACCTTCACTATTAATATAGCAAACAAGAACAACCATTTGTTCTTTACCAGCAACATCACCAAATTCATCAATCAAAACACAAAACACATCATCCACAAAATCACATACAATTTGTTGAGTTATTTCACATGCACAAGCAACAGGAAGATCCTTTTGAATCATATGGGTAATCATAAGGTTATTTCCTAGAGCACAATCTATTACACTAGAGATATTTGGGTTAATTTCCTTTAGAGTGTCCATCAACTCAAGAAATGGCCCCTTAAATAAAGAGTTAATGGACTCGTCACTCCCTTAAATGGCATACCACACCTCAAAAGAAACTTAGTAGCTATACGAGATGTGTTTACACGAACAAGACATTTGACATTCATTTGCTTAGTTTGATTGACAAACGCAACCTTAATACTTTGGTTTGAGTTCATGAGAGTGTAACTCATATGCATACAATCAACATGGCTATTGGAAGAAGTAGCATGATTAGCCAACCTTTGAGCATTCTTCCAATCACCAAAACCCTCCCCTCACAAAGTGATCTCCCCCATATTTAGAGATATTTTTAAACAAAAAACATGGTAAACAAAATGCTAGGTCTTTAGATTCACTATAATTAATCCAGTCATACAAATAAAACCAAT